GAGAGAGAGAGAGAGAGAGAGAGAGAGAGAGAGAGAGAGATGGGTTGAGATGGGGCCAAGAGTGAGAAACAACCAGGACAATGGCAACACTCCTGATGGGTACAACAGTGGCTCTCAGAGACATGTTAGAAAGGAAGATCCTCTGGCCCACCCCAGGTCTGCTTCAGCAGGAACTTGAAGGTGGAGCCAGCCATCTGTGTTTTAACCAGCCTTGAATATGATTTTGATGCACACTGAAATTCAAGAAACCCTGGGCTAGAGGTCAGAGGAGAAACACTGTAGAGGATGAAGAACAAGGCTACCAGGTGATTCTTGATATCTTGCTCAGCCTTCCAAACCCAAGCCTTGATTTACTAAACTTCCCCTTCTTAGTATTTCAGACCAGGGTAAACCATTATAGTGGATATGAAGATTCAATCAAATAACAGCTGATTATTTGAAATAATCAATAATAACCAGAGAAATGACTGTCCCCAGTCTTTTTTCTCCTCTTCTTTGAGACATCCTGAGTGAGAGAAAGGGTCGGTCATGGTGAAGAGTTGGAAACCTCAGTAGTAAACATAAGAGAATCATGAGATTGACATTTCCTAGAGCCCACGTGTGGTAGTCTCTCTTGGCTTAAAGTAAATCGAGAGTTCCACCCCGCAACTCAAATGTGTAAAAGACAGGAGAATTGCTGCCAGGTACCAATGCAACGTCTATTGACAAATATTTATTGAGTGTCTATTATGTAACAGGCCTGGAATACAAAGGCTCTGCTCCCAGAGTTCACAATCTAGTGAAGAGGGAAGGAAGGAAGGAAGGATGGATGGATGGGTGGATGGGCATACACATATTCATATAAACATACATATACATGTACAGAGAAGATAATTTTATAGTGAGAAAGACTTCAAAAATTCAATAGGGCAATATATTAGAGAGTGACTTGGAGACATGGAAGCTACTGCAGCTAAAATGGTCAAAAAAAAAAAAAAAAAGCCTTCCTAAGTAGAGGACACCAAGGAGAGACATTGAGGATGAAGAAGAGACAAATATGTAACATTCTGGGTGAAGAAATGCCCAACAGAAGGGATAAGCACAATGTCCTGAACATGGGATGGAATTTCTATGCTTAAGAGCAGGCCAATGTGGATGCAGGGTACAAAGGAAGGGAGCATGTGACAGGACATGAAATGAGGCCACAATAAGGAGTTTGGGATTTTCTCTAATGTAATGGAAGCCATCAAAAATTTTAAGTATGCATCTATCATAATTTGCTTTAGTTTTTGTTGTTGTTCATTTGTTTCTCAAGTCTCTCCTTTTTAAAAAATGAGGACTAATTAACCCGTAACAAATACTAAAGATGCAGCTTGATGAGTTTTTTGCCTACACAAACAATCCATCCTGTAATCACCATTCAGATCACAGCTTAGGTTTTTGAAGATCAGAGAACGGATTCCAGTCTGGTAGGCAATAATGACAACAGGGATGCCAGTTAGAAGCTTGCCACAATCATGTGTGAGAGGTAATGGGACTTAGATATAATGGGAAATGGAGGTAGTGAGAAGTGGATGGTCAGGTTGTGCTTAGAAGTGATAGGACTGGTTGATTCGAGGGAGGAGTTAAGGAGTGTTCCTGAGGGAGTGGCCTGAGTAATTCAATATGGCGGAGCTGTTTACTAAAGTGGAGGAAGAGTTTGCAAAAGATTTGTAGTATACTAAGAAAAACAATGTTATAGCAAAACCCCCAAAGGATCAAACTTATTGCTTATATCTGCTTCTAGACCATTTGCATTTGGATCACCTAAGCTTAGCTCAGTTGTATATTGCTAGCATGCAAGCATTCAAGTAGACACAGATGGTCGGGGGGGCTACTGATGTTAGCTAACAAACCAAGCACATTCCAACTGGGCTTGAAATATAGACACAAACCACACTTTAACTCCACTCTCTCTCTCTCTCTTGCCTTGTAGATTCTGATGTCAGAGCCAGGCAAGTTGCTGCAGAAAGTGAAGGTGTGGCTGCAGGAGTACTGGAATGTCACAGACCTCATAGCCATCCTTCTGTTCTCTGTTGGAATGATCCTTCGTCTTCAAGACCAGCCCTTCAGGAGTGATGGGAGAGTTATCTATTGCGTGAACATCATTTATTGGTACATCCGTTTACTAGACATCTTCGGAGTGAACAAGTATCTGGGCCCATATGTAATGATGATTGGAAAAATGGTAAGCAGTGTCACATTCCACAACTAAACACTCAGGGTCACCCCAGGTGAACTGGGCTGGCACGCAGTAATCACACAGAGACAGAGAAATACCTTTTTCTTTGGGTCCTATGATGGCTCCTCTGACCTTAAGGGTCCGTGGAAAGAGAGAGAAGAGAGGAGCTGAACATTTTATTGGGAAGAAGCCATTCAAATGAGGCAAGGAGAAGGATTACAAAGGAATAGGTGAGTGTAGCTCAATCCCCTTGGGTGACGCCTGCACCTGAAGACGCGCCTTGCTATCTGAGCTGGGACAACACCCAAGTCACCACGAAATGTAGTGATTGTTCAAAGCCTCGTGCTTCAGGACTGGAAGACGTGGTCATTCAGAGCAGCTCACCACAAAGGAGGGCTCTCTAATTCCATGTTTTAAGTTCTCAGAGGAAGAGTTATAATAATAGGAGGAGGACTATAATTTATTTGGACCTGCTATCAAAGTCTGCAAGAGATAGCTCCAGGGGTGTTTTACTTTATCCCCCCCCACGCCCCACTCGTACTGGGGAATGAACCCAGAAGTGGTCTACCACGAAGTTACATTCCCAACTCTTTTTATTTTTTATTTTGAGACAGGGTCTTATTAACTTGCCTAGGCTGGCCTCAAACTTGTGATTTTCTTGCCTCAGCCTCCTGAGTCACTGGGATTACAGTCATGTACCACCAAGTTTGGCTGGGTGTTTTATTTTTTAAATTCCCGTTAAGTGTTTGGGAGTTTGACTATATCTGTATACAAAAACTGGGGAATTTAATTATTAGCCATTTGCAAACTACAGAATATACAAAGATGATCTATTTTGTGCCAGGTACCAGCCTAGGATTTGAATGTACAAAGAGATTCTTTCTATGAAATAAACATTGAGAGAAAGAAAGAAAGTAATTAATACACAGTGTGAGGATGTTGTGATAGATGTGTATAAAGTACAAAAAGAATATAGGTCAGAAAAGCATTCACATGAAAGTTATGTTGTAGCTGAGTCACAAATTTTTAACAGATTTTTAAAGATTTTTTTTAAAGATGCTTTAAAAAAAAGTTATAGAAAGATTCATTTCGCTACATAAATGGAAGAAAAACAGTGTGTGTTTGAGTTGACTTCAGTTGAGTTTGAATTTTGAATTGAAGATCATACGTTGTGTGTATTCTTACACTGCTAGGAAATAATGTCTGTTTAAAAAAAAAAAAAAAAACTGGGCACTCTGGCACACATCTATCGTCCCAGTGGTTCAGGAGGCTGAGGCAGCAGGATCGAGAGTTCAAAGCCAGCCTCAGCAAGGCTAAGTAACTCAGTGAGACTCTGTCTCTAAATAAAATGCAAAATAGGGCTGGGGATGTGGCACAGTGGTTGAGTGCCCCTGAATCAATTACCAGTACTGGCGGGGCGGGGAAGCTCCAAAATGCTGCACCTAAATCTTTAACATAGAATCCCTAGCAGAACAAACTAATATGCTTCCTCATAAATGGCCAAGGACTTTGTCCCATATTTCTTAACCACACACCAGCTTTTAGTCTTTTTCCATAAAAACTGAGCCCTAGAGGACAGCATTGACAAAAATCAGGGAGTGCATGAGTAAATTGACTCCTTCCCCACACTCCCTAGACAAAGAGTCAGATCCTGAATCCCAAACACTAGGCATTTTATCAGATCTCCCACTTCTTCTGTATATCCCCTTTGTAGGACCTATTTGGGAAAGCTAAGTACATCCATCCTACCTATGTGAACACCTCTTAATGAGAAACCTCTTTATTAATAATCTGCATTTTTATTGTATGAGATATTGAAACCAACAAGTGGTCAATAGAGGTCTGTTTCTTTTTCATTCTTTCTCTGTGTGTGAGAGAGGGGGTACGGGGTTTCAACCCAGAAGGGGGTGCTTTATTACTGAGCTACATCCCCAGAACTTTTTACTTTTTATTTTGGGTCAAAGTCTCGCTAAATTGCCCAGTCTGGCCTCAAAATTGCCATCCTCCTGCCTCAGCTTCCTGAATTGCTAGGATTACAGGTGAGTGCTACCATGCCCGGCTAATAGATATACTTTTTCAATAGATATCCTTCTTCAAAAACTCAAGTTTTACTATATATATATATATATATATATATATATATATATATATATATATAAACTATATATAGTTTTACTATATACATCATTGCCAACTCAATATTTATCAAACATCTGGGTGTGTGACTACTAAAATGAATCTTACATACAAAATCTTCCTACAAAAATCACTTACAAACTCTTGCAAGAATTTGAATTCACAATGAATTGAGTAGAAGACCTTAAGCAATGTACTTAACCTCTTTGAGATTCAGTTTACTCATTTTTCAAGTAGTAATGAATAATGAAAGTGCATCTTGTAGGTTTGTTGTGGATCATTAGAAGTATGTTAAGTGGCCATCCATGTCTGGCTCATGGTTTAGTGGTTGATAAATTGTATCTGCTATCATTATGTTTATATTGCGTTTTTAAAGTACAATGTAAAAAGGAAATATCAGTAAGCATGATTATTCTGCTATAAATTTAACCTTTTGATACAGAAGGTTGGTATTTGTAATATCAGCCATATTTAAAGCATGTTTTAGTCAGCTTTTTGCTGCTGTGACTAAAGAATCCAACCAGAACAATTGTAGAGGAGGAAAGGTTTATTTGAGGACTCATGATTTCAGAGGTCTCAGTCATAGAAGTGTGGTTCCATTTCTTGGGGCTCAAGATGAGGCTGACCATCATAGCAGAGTGTGTTACAGAGGGAAGCAGATCACATCATAGTGATTAAGAAGCAGAAAGAAAGAGAACCCACTCTCTAGATACAAAATACATACCCCATAGCCACACCCTAATTAACCACTTCCTCCAGCCACACCACATCTGCCTCCAGTTACCGCTCAGTTAATACCATCAGGGATTAATTCAAAGATTCTCCTCCAAACCTTCTTGCATAGTCTCACACATGAGCTTTGGAGGGACACCACATCCAAACCATAACAGGGCACATATCACCAAACCATTCTAGAGAGGAAAAATTTGAATTCTCAAACTGAAGTTACTCACTCAAAACTGAACCCCAACTCAATTGAGTATTTTTTGGCTAGGAAAAAATATGTATATTACTCTGTTATTCTACCTGGTATGTTGTCTTTTTTTGTACTTTAATGATGAATTTGAGATTTTGGTGAGAATATCTGTCTAAGGACAGATTCTATAGTTGGGGCTTAGTAGAGCAGTCTATGGATCCTTCCCCCAATTTATGTATGAGTAGTAGGTGAATTTTCTTGACAAACTTTTATGAAATTCTCAAATGAATTGTTCCTTGGCCCAATGAGAGTGAAGAACTCTAATTAGCTATAAAAGATTAAGCTTTCTCCACCTTGACACTCTTGATATTCTGGGCTAGGTAATTCTTTGTTTGAGGCACCGTCCTATATATTACAGGTTGTTCAATGCTGTGGCCTCTGCTCATTAGATGCCAACACACAGAGTTCTGACAAAACTGTCTCCAAACATTGCTGAGTGTCTCCTGAGGGACAAAAATTACCCTCTGCTGAGAACTACAGCACTAGGGGTGGGGGTATTTAGTCTGATTGGTTGGTTTTCTGATGGTCACCTTATATTAACAATTAAAAATTGCAAAAACCCAAACTGACCAAATATAATTCTTTTAAGAATCTAGGTGGCGTTTAAACACTTGAAATAACTGAAGTTACACTAATGCAGCAAGCTTATGTTAAAATCCACATCTGTCATTTTAGTAATGGCATAATTATCCCCAGTTTTGACTAGAATGAAATCTTACTAAGGATTGAGCAAGAGGAATGTACTGCGTTTTCTCTACCTCCTAACTTATGAATGACTTCATTTGTCAGTCAAGAATAGGTAGAAAATGAGAATATTTGAGGACTTTGGTTCTCTTCTATGGAAATTTTAAGATAATTAGTTCAATAATTGAGTCATTGATCCAGAAGGTAGATAAAATACGTCTGTAGAATTTATGAGGGAGCCAGATGGGCTGCCAGGCTGGAAGTGGAACAAAATATTCCCAGATGTGTTTACACAGAAAGCCCCTCAACATTAGAGAGACTTGTTTCAGTATTGAACAGTCAGGTACTCACTGTGCCCTGAAGTCTAGAGACAGACATCACTGAGATTCCTGGACACAGGAGGACTATTTTGAAATTGGTTCTGTGTCCCTTTGCATTGCAGAAGAATCCAGTGTTCCAAGTGCTAACATGGAAACCCACTTCTCCAGTAAAATCCCATTTGATCTGCAGGTCAGGATTGCTTGAAATCCTAACCCCTTGCCTTCATAATCCATTTATCAAGACAATTCTCTAAGCCAAGTCTCAGCTCACTTATATAATGCAGAACAAAAACAGCATTAGCAGCTACCCTTTACTATGTGCCAGATACATGAGACATGTCTTCATCATTACACCCCAAGAAATAGGTCTTAGTATCTTCATTTAGCAATACAATAAACTGAGATGTAGCAAAGACAGCGGCAGGATTTTAGCTCCTGATTCCAACACCTGACCTCCTTCCACCTCTAATAATAATCCATTAATAGCAACTGAGAACTCACCATATTAAGTGTTCACATGTTATCACATTTAATTCTTATAACAATAAGATGCATTTTTGATGTTATTACTGTCCCCATTTTAAAAATAAAAAAATAATAATAAGATTAAGCAACTTGCCCCAGGCCACTTAGCAATCCTTTTTGTTTTTCTTCTTCTTTTCCATTTTTTTTTAATGGTCAGGGAAATGTTCAGAAATCTTTTATTTTCTTTTCCTGGAGTCATCTTTAACTTTTTTCTTGTATTTTTTTCCACTTAGCTTTTTTTTGCTAGTAAAGCCCAGGTGAAAACCCAGGTTGTCTGTCACCTGAGAAAATGTGCAGAATCACTAGAGTACGTACTCTCCTGTGTTGAGCACGCTGAAAGGTATTTCTAAAAATAGTGCAAAATCTTAACATTGAAGTGAGTGAATGATTTAGCTTTACAAACACAAGGAGTCATCCCCTGTTCTCATTAATAGTGCTCAGATTTTGATATTTGTATGGAAGTAAAGACTTTCAACTATACAAAGCTAAGCAGTTGAGAAGAATATGTCTTCTTTTTGGTTATTTTGACCCTCTGGAGAGATATCAGATCCAATCTGAGTGAAAACAATGGTGAGAAATTAAATTAGTATGGTTTCTGTATTTACTGGCTGAATTTTCTTGGGTCAAACAAGTTCCTAAATCTCATGAGTGCATACCGGCCTCTCCCACCCATTTTTTAATTAATGTAAATAAACATAATACAAAGGACTCATGTGTGCTTTTTTATTGATAGAACTTCTCGTAAATAAGTGATGAAAGAATTTTACAAAATAGAGAGAGTAGATGAAAAACAGATCCAGATTTCCTATAAAATGATTTCAACACAGCCAGCTTGCTCACACAAAGAGTCCTGAGACCATTAAATTGTGGAAGGAATAACTAGCTAGCATGTATCTATGAGGATAATGAAAAATAAAAATGGATGTCAAATTTGGAGGGATTTGGGGGCTGGGGTGTGGCTCAGTGGTAGAGCACTCGCCTCACACGTGCGAGACCCTGGGTTCGGTCCTCAGCACCATATAAAAAATAAATAAGTGAAATAAAGGTATTGTGTCTAACTACAACTGAAAAGTAAATATTTTTTAAAAATTGGAGGGATTTGTATTTTGTTTCAAAGTGAGAAATGGCTTTTGAAGTTGCCTTGGAAGTTGATTAATTGATCTAAAATATATTGAGACCCCAATGTCCTAAGGCATACAGGAATGTTTGAATTTCAGCGACATGTATCAAGGAATATACTCTTTCAAAACAAAAGTTTTCAAATTCATCTAGGGAGCAGAGAGTATAGCTCAATGGTAGAGCATTTGCCTAGCATGCATTAGGCCCTGGGTTCAATCCTCAGAACCAAAAGGGGGGTGGAGGATTGGTTGGCTTCTCTGTGTAGGACCCACTTCCCATCTCCCATCACCATTGCCAGGGGGTGAAGTGTTTTGATTAACCTCTCCTGGGAAACAAAAGGGTGGAAACTTTTCTAAAAGAAGGAGGTAATGAGTTCTGGCCTGGCAAAATCAATAGTCATTGCATCCTCATCTATTTTGGGTAATAAAAGGAAAGCAATTTGGCATTTGAGAAGCAAATCCCAAATAACATATATCACAGTAATAAATAAGGAAGGAAGAGGAATAAGAGACAACGTTGTACTAAAATTCAGTAGAAGGATTTTATAAACATATCAAAGAGAAAATGCATCAGTTCAGCAGTAGGTACAGGTGCAGGTCATTAGGCCACCTGGTTCTAATGCTAGGAAAACAACATCCATAACTAGTAAGATACCTGCAGGAGGAGTATAGGAAGACTAGTTCTCTGAGAGACTGGTTTGTGCTAGACAAACAATGGAATGTGGTCACAAGAAGATGATAGAACTGGCTTTATTTACAAGAAATTATTTTATTGAGCTTTCCAATTCTTTGTCAGCTTTTCAAAACTGAGAAAGGGAATTTACTACATTGTACAAGTTCTTGAAATAGTTCAACTATCTCAATTCCAGTTCTACCAAGAAGAGCCCCAAAGAGACCATCCCCACTACCAACACCAACCCCCAAAAGCAGAGAAAAAGTTCGTGTGGATGTCACATCCTTTGTGATGCGACTATGACTCCCTTGCCTAGACTTGACTATGTCCCAGAGAAAGCAATGAAAAACAAAGGGACTTCATTTGGTGTGTACTTTAAAAAAAAAAATGTTTTTTGAGTTACTGATAAGATTCTGTAAGTGCTCAGTTGGTAGAGTCCTTGCTTTGCATGCATAAGGCCCTGGGTTCCATCCCCAGCACCACCAAAAAAAAAAAAGATTCTGTGGACATGGGACTCAATAGGCCAGCTGTCCTCCTATATGGACAGAATTCCCTATCAAAACATCCCTTATCAGCAGTTAGAAAGTGACTTTCCTTCACAGATGTTCCTCAACATCAGCATTCACTAAAGCATTCAATCACATGGGTTTTCTTGTGTTTTTCCCTCTGCTTCTTCACTCTTCCAGATGATAGACATGATGTACTTTGTCATCATTATGCTGGTGGTACTGATGAGCTTTGGAGTCGCCAGGCAAGCCATCCTCTTTCCCAATGAGGAGCCATCATGGAAACTGGCCAAGAACATCTTCTACATGCCCTACTGGATGATTTATGGGGAAGTGTTTGCGGACCAGATAGACCGTAAGCAAGTTTATGATTCTCATACACCAAAGTCAGGTATTTAACTTCAATTGGGTTGTGTCTCTTCCAAGTTCATCTATTTGTTCTCAATAAATGGCTCAAGATAGAGGACCGATTCCTAGCTTGTTATCCTGGTGGAAAAAAAAAAATTACAGAAGGTGAATATACAATTTTAGCAAAGTAGTCCTTAGGTGTATTTTCAGGTATGTCTTTCTGTCTCACAAATTGACATCTGGTATACCAAATTGGATCCAAAAATGAATCATTTAAAAAGATCTAAATTTTTGTTTTTGTGATTCAAAATCCAAGGGCCATGTGTTGGATGTTTTGGTATCATGGATATATTATGTCACAACTCCCCACTCCTAACCCAACACTTAACCCTCAGTCTTTTAAAAAAATAAAGTCCTTGAGTTTGACTTCAGACCAAATAAACAATTCTCAATTTTGTCATCAGAATTCAAGGGTAAGGGCAAACATCTGTATGGTGTTTCCCTTGCACTGGAAAATATTCTCCAATTCCCTTTCCCACTGTCTTAAATTATGTGCTTTTGAGACTCATAGGAAGTTAGTATTCATTGCCTGGAAGTATGGAAAATGCCTTAGGTCATAAGCTGAGTTGCTTGCTATAAATGCCAGAAAAAAAAAAATAGTATCAGTATCATGAAGTGATTCAGTGTGAGGACCCAGCACAAGCAGGCTCCCAATGTTTCAAGCGTTAAAAATACTGATTCTCCATAGTAAACACTCCTTTTGTATGGAGTTTGAAGATAGTTGTAGCCTAAGAGTCTGTTCCAAGATTTTATTTGGACCAAATGTCAGGGCGCACCAGGCACTGGGAAATTACTGGGGAAGAAAGCATCAGGAAAGAGAAAATCTTTTAGTTCAGTGGAGTTGAATCCCAGAAGCAGCTATCTCTCATTTTCCCTGAGGAGTTTAGCTCTGGAAATAGCATCCCTCCAACACTGTCGAATTAACGTTTTTTAGACAGTTTTTGCTGACAGGCCAACCATCTGAGCCCAGACTGTGGACATGGATTAGGGTTACATAACCAGGTAGGATAGCTTATTAGAAGCAGGAGCAGAGATTAGTCAGCATCCCAGTCCCCTTGCCCATCTCAGATCGGGCCAAACCAGCAACACACAGACAAAGCACTCAGGAGTGATTCCTCCAGTCCTGGGAAGAGCAAGTATACACTGGCAACAGAACACACCAGCACATCATTTTCCCCCTCATGATGGATTTTGAACAAATACCGCTTCCCTCTCCAAATGCGTTATCAGAGGCAGACGAGGCTTTTTGGAACACCTAATTGGAACAAATATTTGTGTATGAGACTTAGCCAACTCACTGAGAAAGAATCTTAACTCCATCCCCCAGTTATAATTGGTTGACAATGTCCAGGCTTCTGCCAGGGCACCTTCCCAGCGAGTGGAGACAATCCTTGAGAGCCTCCTTTCCAATGGTCCCTAGAGGAAAACTCTTAAAAAGCCCACCTGTAATCATCATCCTTGGAGATTAAGTATGTTTTCCCCCCCTAGAAATCGCTGTTCCACTTAGTTATGCTATTTTAGCCTTTTCTAGTTGTCATTTCTTCCCCAAAATGAGATGAAGCTCCCATGGGTTTGTTTGACAATGAAGGATGGGAGAAGCAGGGAGGTGTAGATATATTTTATAAATGGGATTCTGTCTGTCCCTCTACAAGTGGCCATTTATTGATGTTGTACTATGAACCCAGCCTAGTGCAACAAACACCACCATCTGGCTGAATAAGAGGATTTTTTATTGCTATTTTAAAAGAAGGGCTGATTGTAGTTTAGAACTTGAAAACCCCAGTCCCCGGAGATGGAAGAGAGGTGTTTTGTGTGAATGAAGTATGAAAATAGATTCCCCATACTGTGAATTAGATCTGTGGTGCTCTACGTGTGTGAGAATAAATTTCTACCCCAAATCCCCATCTGTAACTGACCCAGTCTTGGATGGATGCAACCTTGGTAATGCCCTTCCCCCTACCACTTACCTCCCTTTGTGACGTTCTGAAATTGGCTACAGCAGTAGCCACTGTTCTAAGCTAAATCAGCCAGTTTTCTGTCTAGAGTGCTAATGTATATTCGTCCTTTCTCAAATGGATACAGAAGGCTGCCCCCAAATCTGTCACTCTGTTTGGCGAAAGTCACTGAACATCCGTGTCCTCTAAAATGATTTGCTATTCATGCTATGGCACCAGGTGGGCTCAATGAGGATTGCATGACTACCCCACTTGGTTGTTCAGAATCGCCCAAGAGACCCAAGTACTAAGCTGTTTGAGAAAGGTACAGATCATTTCTGCTGCCCCACAGTGTCTGCCTCTTCTCTGTGCCGTGTCCAGGTTGGTGTGTGAAGCATGTATTCAGGCTGATCGGATCTCATGTCCACCTGGACCCACAGCCCTGTGCAGGGTCTGCCAATCCCATCCTGTGGATGTACCCTGTGTGGGCCTCTCCAAGTGCTGCTCATTCAAACACACCTCAGGCAACTCATTCCAAACGTGATGCACGTGCTCTATATCTAAATCTTGTTGATTTTTGACTTCAAAATTGCTGAACCCATTTCATGTTTGGGAAATGATCTTTCTTTATTGGGTAGATATATGGGGATGTTCAATGGGATCCTTGGGATGGGTCATTAACATCAATTATATACCTCAGAATAGAGGACAGCTTAAATATTCCTCACTTCTGGGAGGCAATATTACCTAAGTGAGAATTTTTTTATATGCATTTAATCTTTTTTCTTGTCATTTGCTCTAAACACAGAACTACCAATAATGCCAAAGATACTAGAATTAGATTTGAAAGGTTACTTTCCAAATGTGCTTAAAAATTAAAATCAAAAGAAAAAAATGGAGTCACATAAAATCACCAAATAACTTAAGGTGTTTTTCACCTCCCACAAATGATAGTCCAGGCTTAATCTAAGTTATCCGTGGAAGTTAAAACATTTTCTTTGGTGTTGAAAGCAGAGAGGAGTGGAAGAACATGGCTGGAAGAAGATAATGAATCTGGGGAAGGGACTGTGATGGTTTACTTTACCCTGGAAACTATGCCTAACACTCTGATTTAACTCACGGGGTTTGCCAGGCATGGTAGTGCACACCTGTAATCCCAGCAACTCATGAGGCTGAGACAGGAGGATTGCAAGTTCAAGACCATCCTGAGAAACTTAGTGACACCCTGTCTTAAAATAAAATTAAAAGGACTGGGGATATAGCTCAATGGTAACGTGCTCCAGAAACACAATGATCATAATAATAATCACAATAACTCATGGGAATTGAACTTGCTACTGTTTGGTTGGTTAGTATTTGTTTTTTTTTTTTTTTTTGTATTGTTTTTTATTTTTTTAAATAGCCCCAAATTGTCTTCAGGTACTTGTGTTATACATAATACTAGCTCTCTAAGACACAGTTAAGGGCTACTGTGAGGTCATTTGGGCTTCAGGTTGTTAAATACATTGAAACCAAATGATGACATTCTTTTTGGCTGTCTCATTAGGGTAACCCATGTTGCATGGCCTCTGAGAGCTGGTCAGGATCCCACTGGAGCTTGATGGGTAAAAGTCACTTAGAGTAAAGAGGCGGCAGAATAAATTTCCAGCAGCAACCCTGCCAAGGCCAGAGCAAAGTTAAAATTAGATTCTCACCAGCTTAGAAATCTGGTTCTACAGTTTGGTGTGTGGGGTGCCTGGAAGTGCAACTTTGTTGGAAGAGAAAATGGGGCATCTCTCGCTTTCTCTCACTTCCAAATGAATGAGACTTCAATTTATTTACAGGGTATCCACGTGCTGCCTGGTGTCTATTCAGATTCCCCAGGCTGTACCTAGGCGGGGGAAAAATGAATCATACTCTTGAATGCATTAAATGAGGGTCTAAATTTAGTCCTTCTTTCTGCCTCTCTGAGTATTTTTAAAAGTTTAGATAGTACTGTGAAAGCAAAATGTCCAAAACTTACTTTCTACCATGACAACTTAATATTATCTAGCCATTTCCATTCACTCCAAATTAACTACCCAATCTTCTTCATGCATGGGCCAATTTTTGTGTCTTACTGCTTAGGGCTTTTCATCTGAAATTAATAGGCAGTATGGAGTAGTAGGGTGTTTTTTGTTTTGCCTTGTTTCATTTTTATTTGATTGATTGATTGAGTAGAAACCTTTGCTAGATCTTTCAAAAGTCCTTACTCTTTGGGATGCATGTTATCCCCGTGACGCTGACTGGAAACAAAGATCGTGCATGTGCATATGGAGCTACAACACTCTCCTGAATTACTTTTATGCCACAGATTAATTGTTCCTCACTTCAGGTGTGGAAATTAGGACAGCTCACGGAGCTGGTCTTTAAAATATGCCTGCCGATGGGGAAACCAACAACAGTGTGAACGGAGATGATGGCAATTGTTATGCATCTCCATCGTTAGACTCTAGTTCTCAAAACTCAGCTCTGTGCATCTGTTTAGTATTCCAGGCTGACCTTCTCTAATGGATTCAGAGCACACAAATGCCTAACAGCTATAGTGCAGGGAGTGTTGCCTGACCAAAGAAAGTATTCTGGAAAAGAAAAACTTGAGCCACTGCCAACTTTGGAGGAAGTGGGGAATTGTTTGGTTGCGTTTTAATTTTGCAAATTGCTAAGGAAGCAAGCCAACATCAGCCATTACCGCCCCTATTTTCTGTTCCTGAAAGTCAACTCACATTATAGGCAATACTCCACCTGACTTGTTTACTAGTGCAAACTAAGGCTTAATAGATTTCCAAACAACAGAGCTATTTGCAACAGGCCTCTGAGATGATTCAGTATATTGTTGTGGACCACATTTGTTCCACTGTCATGATAGTCACTGAGCATTTGCTCATAGGTCGGGCTCTGTATTAGATTAATTCATTCTTCATTTGATGGATGTTTATTTTGTTCTTTCTATGAACTGGAAAGTGAGGTACAGAGATACACATGACAGAGATACTTT